TGCTGCTGCTGCTGGTGTTGCTGTTGCTGCTGGGTCGAGACAGAGAGACCCCCCACGGGCCCACTGCTTCTTCATACTGCCCATTAGAAAAGCTTCAAGAGAGTGAGACTCTGCTGCAGCATCGGCAACAGCGGAGCTGCTGCTGCTGCTGCTGCTGCTGCTGCTGCTGCGAACTGTTAAGTAAACGCCGAGTTTGCTGCTGCTGCTGCTGCTGGTGCTGCTGCTGCTGCTGGCGGCGCCTCAGGTGGTACTGCCCCTACTGCAGAGGCATTTCTGGCGTTGCTGCTGTCGCTGTTTGCTTGTTTGCTGCTGCTGCTGCTGCTGTTGTTGCTGTTGCTGCTGCAGTAGCAGTTGTTGTTCACGTTGGTGCAGCAGCAGCAGCAGCTACCCAACCTTCGTGTATTGTTTGGATGTGTTATTGATATTTCTGTATTTGTTTGCTGCTGCTGCAGGCGGAGAGAAGCTGCTGCTTTGCTGCAGTGTCTGTACACCTCAATGGGGGGTTGCCGTGGCGCTGCTCATCTGCTGCTATGTGTTTTCTGTTGGTTTATCTCGGTATATTAATATATAAATATAAAAATAAAAACAAAATTACTTTTTTTAATTAAGTCAATTAACTGCAGCAACAAAAGAAAAAGAAAACACCACACAGGGGGGGCCCCCTTCATTGCTTGGGGGCCCGTGGTCTGCTGCTGCTGCTGCTGCTGCTGCTGCTGCTGTTGCTGCTGTATTTGTTGCAGCTAGGGTTTGTCTTCTCCTTGTTTTATTTATTTTCATTTCATCTTCTGTGTTGTGTTTACGGTATTTCATATCAGAATACCCCATTGTGCTGCTGTTATCCCCCCTTCTGCTGCTGCTGCTGCTGTTGCTGCTGTTGCTGCTGTTGTTGCTGCTGCTGTTGCTGCTGCTGCTGGTCGTACTGGGTGTTCTTCCGTTGCTGCTAAAGCTGCTGTTGCTTCAGGGGTAGACCCTTCGTACTGCACTTGATGCTCACACCGCTGTTGCTGCTGCTCCTACCACTGCTGCCCTACCATTGCTGCTGCTGCTGCAGCTGCTGCAGCTGTTGCAGCCGTTGCAGCTGTTGCTGCTCGTCGCAGTACAGCTCCCTGCTGCCTGCCGGTACAATGGGCCTGCTGCTGCTGCTGCTGCTGCTGCTGCGAGTTCTACTGCTGGGGCGTATGTGCTGCTTAGCGGAGAGTTGTAAGGGCCATCACCCCCCTGGCACCGCTGGGGGTGGGGGGCGCGACGCCGGAGAGCAGCAGCAGCAGCAGCAACAGCAGCAGCAGCAGCAGCAGCAGCAGCAAGTGTGATTCCTCTTCTTTGCCTGTACAAGTGGGCTTTTTCATATCCCCTCTACACTGCCAGTTGGTTGCATGCGCATGCATGCAGTCTGTGGCAGCAGTCTTTATGAAGCTTATTTTAGGAGTATATTGAATTTGTATGGCTCGGGTTTAGTGGGGCTGGCACTTGCATGCACTTGCATGCACTTGCATGCGCTTGCATGCACTTGCATGCACTGCTGGATATACACCGGAAATATCCGGGTGTATAGATGCTCCGAAGCCACACAGCCAAACACTGAAGTGCAGGCTAAGACAAATAAAATATACTATATTACTATATATATATAGTATATTTTATTCGTGTTATATATATATATANGTTTGCCTGCTGCTGACACTGCATAGCATGCAGCCCCGGGGCTGCATATTGTAACAAAAGTCTCTGCGTCTGCTGCTGCATGCGGCAGTTTGCTGCAGTGAAGCTGCTGCAGTCACCGCAGCGGCAGCATCAGGTGTATCTCCAGCTAGCACAGGTGCACGGTGTAGATGAAAAGCATAAATAAAGCGAAGACGCACGACACAACGCCTGCTAAGCGAAGGTAAGTGCAGCAGCAGCAGCAGCAGAAGAGCAGCAGCAATAACTGCAACAGAAATCTCGGCCGGCTGTGAAGGAGAACCGGAGGGGAGGTGTATGTTGTTTGGGCTGATGTTTTTCTTTTGGGTTTCAGATGACCCCAGCAGGTATCAACGAACTAGCAAGTATATTATATACTATACTATAATATAATATAGTTAAACACTAAACATAAACGAACATCGCTCTATAGAAGACAGCACACAATGGAAGGAAAGAAAGGCTGTTGCAAGAGGGGCAGTATCCGGAGCACAGGAAAGGTAAAGAAGGTGAGGAAGGAGCCAGTGGAGGGTGCAGACGCTCCTTGGTTTTGCTGCTGCAGCTGCAGTATCGTTGCCCCCGCCGTGTACACTGGCGTGACCACTGGTCACTTAGGCCTCTTCATGGGTCGGGGGCCGCTTTTCAACGCCGGCATCAAACATAAAACAAAAGTTTGCTGCGGACCGCAGCCACAGCTCGCCGAGAGCGCATGCAAGACGAGGCGTTCAAGCCAGCCCCAAAGGGTGGTCCTGCCTGCCTGAGTACGCGGAAAATTGAAGTGTTGGCGGCGTCGCCAAGACACCGATAGGTAGAGGGAGAAGCACAGAACTCTTCGATAAAATTATTAATCTGGGTAGCGCGTATACGGAGAGGAAAGAACGCAGGAGGCAGACTGATGCTCATCACCACAGGGTGTAAGTAAGCAGCAAAATGAAAGCAACCACCTCCTCCACTGCCCCCCTGCATCGCATCAACCGCCATATTTATTCAGTTAGCAAAGCAGGGAAGGTTGTTTCTCGGGTGTTTGCATAGAAAAGCTCTTTCGCTGGGGTGTATAGGGAGGTCGTCGTGGTTGCAATGCGACGGGGCGGCGCCACCGCGGTGGTGGCTTAGTGCAGATCCTCGTGAATATTGGATATTTTAGCGGTAAAAAAGGCTAAATTCTTCAGAAAAATGTTTTATAAAAACATTTAAAAGTTTTTTTTCTTTTTTCCGCGCGGATTCATGAGCAGCAAGAACGCTTTCTCCCTGACGCTCGGGTGTATGCATGAAACAGAAGCTGGCGGGGCCCCCACCGGGGCACCCAGAGGGGGGGCCAGAGAGTAGATAAAGAGGAGAGTATACATCTGTGGTTTCTTTTTTTTTTTGCATATGCAGTGGCGCCAGGTGTACAGGCAGTGTTCCCCTTCAGTAGCAGAGGAAACTCGTGAGTTGCAATAGACACACAACAGCCACAAAAAAATGGAGGGGAGACGGTCAGCTCTCCACTCTCCAGCTCTTCTGCGTTTTTTTTATATATACACAAGTGTTAGATGCTCTGCCACCAGTAGACAGGTTGCATGCACACGAAAATATGTAAAACAACCTGAGATAGAATATTGTATAGGTTTCTGCATACCTGCACGAACTTAACAAGTACATCTTTCGGTCCATATATTAGTATTTATAGTAATAATAATAATAATAATAATAATAATATTACTATTGTAATTTATATTATTGTTTTTATTCTCTCAGCATTTTTTTTTTTTTTTTTTTTTTTTTTTTTTTTTTTTTTNTTTTTTTTTTTTTTTTTTTTTTTTTTTTTTATTTTTTTTATATGTATTGAAATGGTTCGTCTAGCGCATATTCCTATTATTATTCTTCCTATCATTTTTGTTTCAACGAAGTTTCAGCCAATTTACTATTGTTATTATCATTGTTATTATTATAATTATTAATATTATAAATATTTTTATTATTTTTTTAATTTAATTGTTTATAAAAAGATACAGATGAGAGAAGCGCTGCTATGCAACGGTCTGGTCTGTCTATGGGTGACCCCATGGTGCTGAGGGTGTTTGTGTGTATATTTTTGTTGGTTTGTTTTTTCATTAATTTTAAATAAAAATTAATTAAAAATAATATTATTATTATATATAAATAAATAAAAACAAAATTTTATTTATATATATTTTTATATCCTTTTTTTCTATGTGCTTGCGGTCAGCTCTCTTATCTTACCTACGGCCGGCAGTATCTGTTTCATAGCTT